CCTCAGTGAGGCACAATCACATGTTTGGCCGGGCCCGGCTTGAGCCAGGCACGGCAGCGGTGCATGCTCGATTTACATCTCGCCTTTAACCCTCTCCGTTTAAAGTTCGACGGCCAATACCGTCAGGGTCGGCGGCACCAGCCGTGAGGCCTTCACAATAACCCCTTCCTCTGGTAAGTGTACAAACACAAGGGCTCCCACGAGGGCGCGAAGTTATTCGCGCTTCGCGCTTCGCTGTTCTCGATCCTTCTCCCCCTCCTCATCGTCCTTCTTTTCTCCCTTGGGGGGAGCGGCGCGAGAGCGCGAAGTTGGGAGCCCGAGAAACAAATGGAATCCCTTCTTACTGGACCTCGTGTTTGGCTTTGGACTCGCGCGGGGCTTGAGGGGTTCTACCTGTTGTGTCATCGCACGCCCGCGCTGCCGAATGCCCGGGGTCAACTTCGATTCTGTCGGCGAGGGGGGTGGCGGGGTCAAGGGGCCCACTTCCTTGTCACTCTACGGTTCCCTTGAAGAGGGGATTTACTTATCTCCTACCCCATGCCAGAACATGTCCCCCAAGCCTAGCCACGCGAAGGGGGTATTTGAACGCCTTGCGGGATGGATTTGTTACCGATTGTAGGCCTGATCGAAACCTCATACGACCTGTTGGGGGGCCTCTTGGGAGTTGCTTGGGGGCCTCTCGAGGCCTCCTGGTTGGGGCGATCTTAGGGGCCAAGTAAGGATTAGCGTTGTTGACCTCCGCGCTATTTGGAGGGTTTTGATAAGGCCCCTTGGGGGCCACCTGTCGGGTTGGGGCAGCTCGGGGCCAGCTTGGGGTGGACGGGGAGGGTCGCGGGTCGTCAGAGTTTCCAAGAAGGCTCCAAGATAATTCAAAATGGGCTCGAAGATGATTCGAGATACCCCAACTTGGACCATATAGCCTCCAACGGGTTGGTCTGAGGTGGCCGCCGAGCCGCGCCTCGCAAGGGTGCCTCCGAGGGGCCGCAAATCATAGAAACACAACTGGCACAAACGTGTTATTCTGTCACGCTGACTCCTCACTTTCCCGCTCAGGATGAGGACTCAACAGTGCCCCAAGATGTCCCGAGAGGGCCCCAGAGGCCCCTCCAAAGCCTGTCAAGAACACCACAGAAGGCCAAGAAAACCCCAAAACGCGCCCCACGAGGGGTGGAGCCGATTAGGGTACCGTTGCAAACCGGTTTGAGAAAGCACCGTTCGTTTGGTAAGGCCCTGGCCCCATGGTGCTGAAGGCCCGCCTGAATTGGGCAAACAGGGGACCCACTTGACGGAAGGATCAGTTAGTTTGGGCAGCCAGGGCCCCGTGTTGCGAAGGCCTGGTCAATTTGGGAAGGCCCAATCTGCGTGGGCAGCCCTGGGCCGCGTGCTGCGGAAGGCCCAGTCAGATTTGCGAGGCCTGGGCTGCGTGTTGCGGCAGGTCTGGTGAGTCTGGGCAGGCGTGGGCTGCCCAGTCTGGCCATTATTTCTGGATGGGATGGCGGGGGCATGTTGCTCGCGAATTGCCAGCAGCATTGTGCGGCAGAAACAAAAAACCGAAACAAAGAGAAAGAGAGAGAGAGAAAGAGAGAGAGCCCTGGCCCCCCTTTATCGTCGTCCTTGTTGCCCACGCAGGAGCCAATGTTCTAGCCTTGAGTGCCGGGGCTCCTTGGGTACCTGAAATCCACTTGAGCTCCAAGATATTTCAAACATTTTCTTCCCGAAGGTCCTCTTGCGGATATTGTGAGCTCTTGCAGTAAGAGCCTCACGAAAGTATCGCGCAGGGTCAGGGGAAGTTCGGGGATTGAATGCGTATTGAGCCCCTTGGGTACTCAAAACTTCTTTGAGCCTCAACATTTTCCGAACATGCTCTTCCGAAAGGGCCTGTTGGGGATCTTTGCGGGCGGGCAGACCCCAACGGGCGGGCGGGCCAGGTCGGGCGGGACATTCAAATAGTGTGCAATTCACCCTCCAGGGCATCCAGGAAGGCGACGACGAGGGCGCTGACGAAGACGACGACGACGACGATGACCAATGCGAAGACGGCGCCGACGACCTAGCGGGCGGGTCGGCTGGCAGACCCTAGCGGGCGGGTCGGGAACGCGTACCCTGACCGGCGGCAGTGTTGCAGAAGGCCCAGCGCAGCCCTTGCGCTGGAATCTGACCATGTTGCGGACGGCCCTGTACTACGGCCTGCCCGTTTATTTGGAAGGTTCTGGCGCCGGAGTGGAGTTTTCCACCAGTTCCCCCCAAAACGGCCCACAAGGGCCGCAATGCTCGCGAACGAGCTCCGAGGGAGTTCCACTCTAAGAGAGCCCCAGGATTCTCCAACTTAGCCACCGTTGGAAGCTGATCTGGCTGATCTCAACTTCGGTTTGACTGGTGTCCCCGTCTAGCTTTCACTTATGCTCCTCCGCTTTCCTTCTCACGACAACTCGCCCATTTTCGGGGGGGGATGGGCTGGTGGCTGGCGGGGATACTTTTTTGGTTCGCGGCTCCAAGGCGAGGGACAGGGAACGGGCACAACGTCCGGGGCGCGGTGCGGTGTAAATTGGCGCAAGATTGCCGCAGACTCCAGCGGACAACACACGCAGAGGCGCATGCACATGCCAGGGACAAAATACCCCTCATTGAGACGCAAACCAGCGTCGGCAGGTGACCGGCCCAGACATCCCGGCAGGTGGGGAAGCAAAGGCGCGGCGACCGGCAGCGGAACGGGGGGGAGAAGTCGCCCTTGCGGCGCCTAACTCCAGCCGAACCGCATTCGGAAGCGAGGCCAAGACGGACAGCGGGGCACTGTAAAAGCCGCAGGCAGAACGCGGATCCGAATGGCCGATGACCAGGCGAAGCCCACGTGCGTGCACACAGGGACAGGCCGTCCAAGACCTCGGAAAAGAGAGGGGGGTGAGTGCGAGCGCGAGCGACTAATTCAGACTCACTGCAGCACCCCGGGTAAACGATGGTGCGGCGAAAAAGGCCTGACTCACCAAGGCTCACTGCAGCTGAGGTGTGGCTGATCCGCGTCAGAGCGCCATCGAGTAGAGGAAGACCACTGGTGTGCGCTCACGAGGCTGAGCCACCTCCAGCCGGTAGCCAGTGCGTGCACATCGTATCCGACTCACGCAGTTCGGGGGCACAACGATGCAATGTACTGACGAGGGCTGGTAGCTGAGGCTGCGCTGAAAGGAGAACGACCACGAACTGCAGAAGGCTGAACCACTCAATGCAGGGCCACTCGCTTGACGAAGCCAATCACAGGGTGTCACCTAGTGTATGGCTGTCAGCCGCACCCACTCCACACCTGCCACGCTGCCCGTGCGGAAGCCGAATACCCCGACGCCGGTGGCGAAACGATGGCTGGCGGCTACCGAGCTGCTGGGCCGTACTGCTCGTAGGCGGCGTGCTGACGGCGGGCCAAGACGTCCTTGTGGTAGAACCATGGCCAGGTCGGCGACGAACCAGGGCGGGTCTCAGGCAGGAGGGGGGCGCAGCCAAAAGCCGCTGAACACCAGTGTCAATGAGGGGTGTCGGGGCACCATCCAATAAGAGCCCACTGGTGTGCGTGCACGAGGCTGGCAACCACCAGCAGGTAGCCTGTGCACTTACATCGTATCCGACTCACGCAGTTCGGGGGCACAACGATGCAATTGTCCTGGCGAGGGCTGGGGCTGTGGCTGCGCCGAGAAGAGCGAAATGAACTTGGACCGCAGCTGGTGGGGATACGCGAAGCGTCAGTAACTTGCCGCATGCTGACACTTGTGGGATTTCGCGTGGACGGGCATGTAGGCTACCCGATTGCAGCTTTCGAATGTCCTCAGAATTTCCCATCAGTATGGAAAGCGATTGCAACATTCGTGCGTGCGCCGCGCGTGGGGGAACTATTTTCATGTCGCGCATGCAGATATTCGAGGACTTCCGAATCGGATACCAGACACTAACGCACTAAAAACACAACAGCTCATGTGCTCGTGATGCGCTGAGGGTCTCATGCGCTATCGCAAACACACTTTCCACGACGTCATGCCAATTTTCCGTGCTGGAGAAGGAAAGTGAGGCGGCAGAGAGTGAGGGAGAGGGTGAGGGTGAGGGTGAGGGTGAGGAGGAGGAGGAGGAGGAGGAGGAGGAGGGCGACGACGACATCGTCGTCTGTAGCAGGGAAGAGGATTAGGGGGAGATGGACGAGGAGGAGTATGAGTAGGAGGAGGATGAGGAGGAGGAAGACAAGGGGGAGGAAGAGGAGGAGGAAGAGGAGGAGGAGGAGGTCAGAGGAAGCCTCGCGAATCAGGTTCATTCACCGTGGAGGAAACTGGCGACACCTGCCGCTGGCGCTCCAAGCGCGGGGCAAACGCAAGGCCAGGCCACTGGCCGGCTGGAAGCCCACTCTGGAGCTCCGCTCCCTGGGATGAGGGAGAACTATGAGGGAGGACCAACTCAGGGAGGAAACATCCAATTGGAATCGGCGATGCATCGCCGACAGATCGGCGATATGCCCCAGACAGCGAATCCGCACGTTCCTGGGCTGTCTGGCCCAAATCAACGATCAATGGGCGATTGGGGGTCGATGCACCCCCTGACGTGGCCCCGTGGTCTTCGGGTCATAACTCGGCTCTCCTGCGGTTGTTCGGGACGATCTGGGCATCCCCAGAACGCTCTCGGCGCGGCGCAACTGCTGGAGAGCATCCCGAGGCTGGAAACCCCCGAGAGCCGACGAGAACGCCCGATAACCTCGAACCTCGAACAGCTGGCCTCGACCCCAAAGCTCGAAACCCCGAGCCTCGACCCCATGACCTCGAGCCTCGAACCCCTAGCCTTGACCCCCCACGCTCGAACCCTCGAACTCCCAGCGTTGCCCCCGATGGGCCTAGAACCCCCTAGCCTCGAACCTCGAACCCCTGGCCTGGACCCCCGCAACTTGAGACCTCGAACCCCCAGCGTTGCCCCTCATGGAGAGGTGCGGCGGCCCTGCCGCGCGCGGCTGAAGAGGAGCGCGCAACGGGCGGCGGGACCCAGGTTCACCAGCGTGGTCGGGTCTCGGTTGTCGATGCGGCCGAAGCATCCGTCCGCCTGAGGGCGGCGAGGTGCACGCCTGCTGCGCCAACTCCTCCTCCTGCTGCTGCCTCCTCCTCCTCCTCCTCCTCCTCCTCCTCCCTCCTCCTCCTCCTCCTCCTCCTCCTGCCTCTCCCTCCCCTCCCCTCCCCTCCCTCTCTCTCCCCCCGCCCTCCCCCCCTCCCCTCCTCCTCCTCCTGCTCCTCCTCCTGCTCCTCCTCCTCCTCCTCCTGCTCCTGCTCTGCTCCTGCTCCTGCTCCTGCCTGCTGATGCTGCTGCTCTGCTCCTCCTCCTCCTCCTCCTCCTCTTCTCCATCGTTTCCTCCTCTCCTCCTCCTCCTCATCATCATCGTCATCATCATCATCATCCTCCGCCTCCTCCTCCGCCTCCTCCTCCACCTCCTCCGCCTCCGCCTCCGCCTCCTCCTCCTCCTCCTCCTCCTCCTCCTCCTGGTTCATGGTTCATCCCTGGGCGGCCGCCTGCAGCTGCAGGCGAACGCCGCTAGGTCACAACACTACGCAGCACCTCAGTATTCCGCGCAGAAGAATACCAAACCCTCGCAGATGTGCCCGCTCCCTGTATAGGGCCACGCGGGCAGTGCACCAGGTCCAGTCTCGATACCTGACAGAGCACAAAGCCTCCAGTACCGCGGAACGAAACCCTCGTCGATGCGCCCGCTCCCTGTATAGGGCCACGCGGGCGATTCACAGGGCCCAGTACTGATACTATACAAAGCCTCGCGCCTCTAGTACCACGAAAAGAGATGCAATCAGCCATTGCACCCACGAGCTGAACTCCCAAGCCCACCACAAGATCAACGCAGGAATCCAGCAAAACAGGCAATGAGCCGCTGCCGCACGCTGTTGCCAACCCGCGACCGGGTCCAACGTGCTGGCGCCCAGGGCAGCAGAGACGCTGCCGCACGCTGTTGCCAACGCGTGACCAGGTCCAACGTGTTGGTGCCCAGGGCAGCGGACTCACCACCGTGGCGACACGAACCTGGCTCACCAGGATTTCTGGATGCCAGCACAGCAAGAACATCCGCTGGTCAAAGCAGGCGAGATCACCACCTCCGCCCACGACAAAAATCCGCCGACCCTGTCGGCGTGTGTGAGGGGCTTTTCCGTTCGAGCCGTCATCTCCGTCATTCTTTGTACTCGTCGTCTCTGTCCTTCCCTTTCCCTGGGAGACCTCTTCCCCTGGGCTCCAGCCAAGCCGACCTTGAGCAACCTCGTAATTGAGTCGAAGGGAAGCCCCTTCCCTTTGATCCCTCCCCCGCCGGGAGGGGGGGGGGGGTAGCGACCCCCCCCCCGGGTCAGATACGACGCCCCCCCCTGGGACTCCTCTTCCCCTGGGCTCCAGCCAAGCCGACCTTGAGCAACCCCTGGGCTCCAGCCAAGCCGACCTTGAGCAACCTCGTAATTGAGTCGAAGGGAAGCCCCTTCCCTTTGATCCCTCCCCCGCCGGGAGGGGGGGGGGGGTGTCGACCCCCCCCCGGGTCAGATACGACGCCCCCCCCTGGGACTCCTCTTCCCCTGGGCTCCAGCCAAGCCGACCTTGAGCACCCTCGTAATTGAGTCGAAGGGAAGCCCTTCCCGAATTTCTCCCCCCTGGGGGGGGGGGGGTGGGGGGGGGGTGTCGACCCCCCCCCCGGGTCAGATACGACGCCCCCCCCTGGGACTCCTCTTCCCCTGGGCTCCAGCCAAGCCGACCTTGAGCAACCTCGTAATTGAGTCGAAGGGAAGCCCCTTCCCTTTGATTCCCCCGCCGGGAGGGGGGGGGGGGTTGTCGACCCCCCCCCCGGGTCAGATACGACGCCCCCCCCTGGGACTCCTCTTCCCCTGGGCTCCAGCCAAGCCGACCTTGAGCAACCTCGTAATTGAGTCGAAGGGAAGCCCCTTCCCTTTGATCCCTCCCCCGCCGGGAGGGGGGGGGGGGGTGTCGACCCCCCCCCGGGTCAGATACGACGCCCCCCCCTGGGACTCCTCTTCCCCTGGGCTCCAGCCAAGCCGACCTTGAGCAACCTCGTAATTGAGTCGAAGGGAAGCCCCTTCCCTTTGATCCCTCCCCCGCCGGGAGGGGGGGGGGGGTGTCGACCCCCCCCCCGGGTCAGATACGACGCCCCCCCCTGGGACTCCTCTTCCCCTGGGCTCCAGCCAAGCCGACCTTGAGCAACCTCGTAATTGAGTCGAAGGGAAGCCCCTTCCCTTTGATCCCTCCCCCGCCGGGAGGGGGGGGGGTAGCGACCCCCCCCGGGTCAGATACGACGCCCCCCCCTGGGACTCCTCTTCCCCTGGGCTCCAGCCAAGCCGACCTTGAGCAACCTCGTAATTGAGTCGAAGGGAAGCCCCTTCCCTTTGATCCCTCCCCCGCCGGGAGGGGGGGGGGGGTAGCGACCCCCCCCCCGGGTCAGATACGACGCCCCCCCCTGGGACTCCTCTTCCCCTGGGCTCCAGCCAAGCCGACCTTGAGCAACCTCGTAATCTCTTGCTGCGCATTGCGAACAGGGTCGGCGGCACCGGCCGTCAGGCCTTCGCAATAGTCACAGCTTCATCTGGGCCATGACCGACGTGTGGAACTCGATGGAGCGCGCTTTGGCAAACCGACAAATCCACTTGATCTGGTTCTTCCTGACAGCTGGATCCTTAGACGCCCCAGGGCAAACTTTTTTTGAGCTTGAGCACCTTCTTCGCAACGTCAGTCGAAGAGCCAGCACAACGTACACAGACGCACGCCAGACCATCCCATTGCAACGTGTGGCCTTGGCCAGCGAAAAAGGCATGCGCCGCCATTTGAGGTGCCTCTGACGAATCCACCACCACCTGCTCTGAAATGTCCTCTCCAAGTAGGGCATCGGCTAGTTGCACGGCTTCATGCACCGCCTCACTGCGCACAGGCTGGTAAGTGAGGCCCTTGGGAGTGCCGAAAAAGATGTCACACTGCAATCGTTGATGCTCCGACGCCCTACAGTGCTTACGACTACCCCAACCCAAGTTGTCCAGGTGAGTTGTAGTGGCAGCACGCACCCCACACTGCCTGCACCGATACTCTGCATAATCATCAGATCTCCAAAAAATATGCTCTAATACCGTGATACGTGGCTGGAAGCATGGAACTCGTACCTGGCGACCTTGGGACTCCCAGAGCTGCTGCTGAAACAACCTGCACAGCGTGAACCCCAGGTACCTGGCCATCAACTTGGATTGAGCCAGCGCCATCTTGAACAAGTCGCAGTAGCCTTCTGCATATCCGATGTCCTTCGCACCCTGATTCGCAAAATGATCAGCCCAGGCATTGCCCAAGACCCAATCGAAATTAGCTTCACGTTTGGCAACTCCAGCCGCCACTTCATCCAGGTCAAGATGAGAGGGGCACCAGCCGAAGGTAGGAGGTGCTACTTTCCGTGCTTGAGCAAAGTTGCGAATGGCCCTCCAAATGCCAGCATGCCGTGCGCCAGCGAGCGCATCATACTCGTCCCAACGGTTGCCTTCAATGACGAGCGCCGAAAGATCATCTGTGACCACCAGCTTCACTCCAGGAAAGTGCCTTAGAGCCTGTAAAACGCAATGCCGCTCTGCTGCTCCAATAGTCTGCTGCACCCCTGGAAGGCCTCCGTAGACTGCACGAGCTGGATATCCCTCAGGAGACATTTGGACACAAGCCCAGCCGCAACGTCTCAGTTCAGAAAATGCTGGATGGAATAGCCGAGCCGTCCGTAAAAACTACGCTTGGCCAGTTTACCGGCGACCCAGCCCAAGATCCCCAGTACCGCGCAGGAGGGTCAGGCGCTGCATGTTGCCAGTCCCCTGGTACCTGCGGTAGCCCCACACTAAGCTCAAAGCACTCATCGCAAACGTTCGGGCGATTGATGGTCCCGTTCTGCAAAATCGAATCTCGAAAAGACGTGAGCTCATCAGGCATGGGATGATCGCCCTCACCTTCCAATAGCCACTTATTAACCGCATCGCACTTGAAGCAAACGTGGCCAATTGTCTCATCGTCGCCTTGGCAGGCACGACACCGTGAATCGCCGACCTTGTTGTGTGCCGCAAGACGCACCTTAGTCCACAGCGACCCAGACCATAGAGCCCTGAGCGCGCCAGCCGTCTTAGGGTTTTTGACCGTAGCCGAAGGTCCGCCCAGGCAAGCACGCAGCCCGCGCGCCCACAATATCGTGCCAGGCTCCCGCTGTTCGTGATGTGCCAGGATACGTTGCATCTGATATCGCTGAATACCTGCACGAAGTAAATCACGAAGTAGAAGCGGGGCCACCTGCAAAAGTGACCAGCTGCACCCCAGATCATCTTGCACCACTGTCGAAGACAACTTACGCCATCCTACCCTTTGTAGGGACAACTTGACTACACCAATCGGGCCTCGAGCCGTACTCCAACTGAGAGAAGTGGCATTAACTGCTTGCCAGGCACGTTCCAACCTGCTTAGTACAACAAGCTGCTCCCACACCAATCTATGGTAATGGAACGTCGGCCCAGTAGTTGCATCGAAGATGGGATCATACCATGGGTCACGTTGAGTCGCCAAGTAAAGAGTACTGCTTGCTCCACGCTTGGGGTATCCCGCCATAGTGGCGGATATGTTCCTCATGACCTCCAACTCCTTGTCAGACACGCCGCTGGCCGACGACCCGTGAGCCACTGACGGCAGTAGCCCAGTCCTCCACAGTCGCGTGACTTTGGTACCCACCGTCCGTCGGAATGCATGTATCCGATGCGCACGTTGTTTGAGACTTGCCAAACGCTTCTTGGCAATAGTGCGCCTAACTACTGGCCCATGTAGCTCATGCCCCAAATTCCGCATGTGCGGCTTCGAGGGAATGTGGCAGTAATCCGATGCCGCCTTAGATGCCTTGATCACTGCGGCCGACGTGGCAACAAAACCTGACTTGCTAGCCTGAATAACGAGCCCAACTTCCTTAACATCAAAGATAAAACCTTTCAGCGCCGCCCAGAAACAACTGAGCTGCTGTGTCGAACTGCCAACCCACTGCGCCGAAACGT